TAGAGTTGATCAAACATCTTTTGGAGAGGAACAAAGGCTTGGTTTCTATACCCTTGGGGTTAGTAGTGAACAAATGTATTAGTTACTTTTCTGTCACTGTGTAAAACACTATGACCAAGACAGCTTTTAAAAGGAAGAGTTTACTGGGCTTACAGTTCCAGAGAGATAAGAGTCTATCATGGTGGGGAGGCACAGGAAGCTGAGCTCTCATATCTTCAAGCAGGCACAGGAAGCAGAGAACAGACTAGAAATGGGATAAGGCCACACACGTGTACTCTCAAAGCCTTCCTCTAGTGGCCTGCTTCCTCCAGCAATACATCTCTTAAACCACAAACAGCACCACCAACTGGGGCCTAGTATTCAGATATTTGGGACCTATGGGGGACTTTTATTCACCCACCACAGCAAAGACCTCTGTAAAGGAGAGAGAGAATGCATCACACTTGCACTGATAATTGTCTTCTGCTCCATGACAGGATGTGTGGCAAGTTCCTGAGGCAGCTGTTAGCTGAGGAGAGCCAGCATTCCACCCCTGTGGGTCGCCTCCTGCTTCCTGTGCTCCTAGGATTCCGCTTCCTGTTTCTGGCTTCCAGTGGACCTGGGGTCTTTAATAATGATGAGAGTGAATTCATCTGTCATTTAGGGCAGCCAGGCTGCAAGGCGGCTTGTTATAATGCCTTCCACCCCCTCTCTCCATTGCGCTTCTGGGCCTTCCAAGTCATCCTGGTGGCTGTACCCAGTGTGATCTATGGGGGTTTCATCCTGTATCATGTGATTGGCTACTGGGAGAAATCAGGAAAGGTGAAGAAGGAGCAAGAGACTCTGAACTTCAAGGGGGATGGCAGTAGAGATGCCTCAGGGGTTGGAAGTCTCAACCTGCTCTGGGCCTATGTGGCACACCTTGGGGCTCGACTGGTCCTTGAAGGGGCATCCCTTGGAGCTCAGTACCATCTTTTCGGGTTCAAGATGCATGGCTCTTTTGTATGCCGTGAAGACCCTTGTATTAGCAGTACAACCTGCTTTCAGTCACAGGCCTCTGAGAAGACCATCTTCCTAAACACCATGTTTGGCATCAGTGCAATCTGTCTCTTATTTACTTTTTTGGAGCTTGTGTTTCTGGGTCTAAGGACGCTTTGGAGGATGTATAAGCACAGATTTCACTTCTCTAAGTACTTCCGAACTTCAAAAAGCACCACAAGACACAAGGACCCAACTGATGACTTGTCAGTGGTAGAAACAAAAGAGCCATTTCGAGAAGCAGGTGAGTACCCTGGGTGTCTGTCTCTCCCTACCCCTGATGTCCCCAGCCCAGAGTAGGTCCCTTATTCTTTGTGCAGTCCATCTCCAACATGTTACAAGGTAGATAACTAGTTTCCAGGCAGATGTATTTTTAAAATATTTTATTTATATTTTTATTGTATTTTTATGTGTATAAGTGTATTGCCTGCATGCATGTAAGTGCATCCATGTTGTACAGTGCCTGAGGAGGTCAGAAGAGGGCATCCAATCCCCTGGGACTGGAGTTATGGACAGTTGTTAGCTGCCATGTAGGTGCTAGGAGTTGAACTGGTCCTCCGCAAGTACAGCCAGTGCTCTTAACTGCTGAGCTATCTCTCCAGCCCCCTAAAGGATTTACTTACTTTATTATTATTATATTACTATTATTATTATTATTATTATTTGGTCTTTTTGAGATAGGGTCTCCCTGTAGTTCCTGGAACTTGCTATGTAGACCAAGCTGGCCTTGAACTCACAGATCTGCTTGCCTCCGCCTCCCAAGTGCTGGGGTTAAAGGCATGCACCACCACACCTGGCTTACTATTATTATTATTACTATATTATTGGGGGTTTTTGAGACAAGATCTCAATATATAGCCCCAGCTGTCCTGGATCTCACAGAGATCTACTTGTCTCTGACTCTTGACTGCTGGGATTAAAGGCATGTGCCACCATGCCCAGCCCTTTTAATAATGTTTTATCAGTCTTTTTTAAAGTTTAAGAAATTTATTTTATTTTTATTTTACATGTATGAGTGTTTTGCCTGCATGTATGTAAGTGCATCACATCCTTTCAGTGCCCAAAGAGGCCAGGAGAGGGTGTTGGATCCCTTGGAACTAGAGTTACAGATGATTGTTAGCCACCATGTGGGTGCTGGGAATCAAACCCAGGTCTTCTGCAAGAGCAGC